CGACACACACACACTCACACATGCCTTCGTCCGCCTTTGTGCGCCTTCGTCCGCCTTTGTCCGGCTTTGTCCGGTTTGTCCGCCTTCGTCCGCCTTTGTGCGCGGTATGAACCATCCCTTAGCCGCAGAGTGCATGAAGCGCAGATTTACAGGGTGCGTCAAAAGTCTGGGAGCCCAACTTTGCACTACTGCATTTACAAAGATACTGATGGTTTTGATTTCAGATATGGCAAATGATGCTGCTGTGATCCTCTACAAAATACACTTTAATAGTTGGAAATGGGTGCCATGTATTTTTGTAAGATTAGAAATTACCAAACGACTACTTTTGCAGAGCGAAAAAACCAGAATTTCCAGTATTTACAATTTTTGCTGTAGCTAGAGATGCTGTTAACATTTTACAATACTTCAGTGCACACCATATAGAAGAGTCTTTGCGCTATTGAATCATAGTTTTGCTTTTGCCAGGAGCCGTTCTTGCATGAACAGAAAATAAAAGTTTGTGAATGTTACCTACGTGCCAGCGGCCATCCGCCTTCGGAACAAACGTAAAAGCTATAGAAAAGCAACAGACACTGAGACTAAAGCTATATACCTTGCATACGTCTTCTAAATAAGAATTTATTGAAATTCGGTCAAGGGAACACTTTTTATACTTTTCGCGCAATTGTAGCCAAATTTCCGGTATGCGACGCACACATGCCTCTAATTAAAAATTCAATATCTTTAAGCAATGCAAAAATTCTTTTGCAAGCATGTTGTAGACAAAAGCTTGCTCTATCATACTGCACATTTGCCAAGGTAAAAGAAGCAGTTTGTGAAGGCGTGGAGCGAAATTCATTAGAACTACCTGCGTGCCATGACAGGTGGACTTGCCAAGATTTTGTAGGGCCGCGTGGAAGCCAAAAGAGGAAACATTGAAATTCAAGAACTGTGGTGTATCTATGATGGTTTGATTTATGTGTGCAAATTAGTAGTGCTTCTGCGCCTTCGTCCTACAGTAGCCTTTAATGCCTGTTTTATGGGTTTTTATGCCCAACTGTGCGTAAAGAGCGCAGTCGAACTCGTCTTCACGACTTTAAGAATGATCCATGTCTATCTCCAGTGGCCGTATTCATCAACGAACTCTGAGGGTAAACTTACCCTTGAGGGTAAATTTTATCCGCAGAAAGCATAAACCCTTATTCACGAAGCACGGGGCAACCTTAACCTCGAGGTTAAATCTACCCTAAAGGGTATAAATTAACCCGGAAAGCGACTAAACCGTATTCAACAACGACTCTGAGGGTAAACTCCATCCTTCCTTGAGGGTAAAACTTACCCCAGAAAACGATTAACTCGTATTCGTGTAATTGATTTATCAAACTAAATCTAACCCTAGCATATAGCAAGGTTAAACTTACCTTAACACTTTGTACAACCATAAGGTAATCTCTCGATGCACCACTCAGTCTCAACGATACTGTCTTGACAACAAACACGAATTTCTAATCTTTTTATCTCAAATCTCCCAATATCTCATTCGTATCGTTTAGTCATATTACAAAATCTAGGAAAAAAATTTTCTAGTACTTTTTTGGTCAGCTTCAAGTTTATCCAGTTGACTGATAGTTTGGCCATGTGTCAAATCATTTACTGAGCATATAGGTGGACTAACATGTGAATGAGGGAGTTCCATATTACGAACATTTTTCCGAGTTGTTGAGTTTGATGTTCGCTATGCCAAAGCCCTTAGTTGGACATGTACTTCATTCAAAACTGAATCTTTTACCATATCTTCAACTTGGCCGAATATAATACCGGATGATAACATAAAACAAAAACGAAAAGAGGCCATGGAAAGTTTGAGATAGTAGTGAACATAATTATGTGTTTGCTGTCAGAACAGTATCGCCAGGATTGAACAGTGCGTAGAGATTACTTGATCCTTGTAAGAAGTGTCTAACCTTGTTTTAGCTAATGTTAAATTTACCCTGATGAGCCACTTTTGTGAATGGGTTAATCGCTGAGGTAAAATTTACCCTCGAGGGTAGGATTTACCTTCAAGGTTCGTTGATGAGTGCGGGTTAATCGCTTTCCGGAGTAAGCCCTACCCTCAAGTGTTCGTTGAAGAGTACGGCCAATGAACCTGAGGGGCTAATTCAATGACACTAGATAGACATTTGACACTGACATTAGTTTTCAACTTCTCTGAGCCGAAGTCAGCCCTTTGACCGCCTTGACAACTGTAAGTCACATTAAATCAAGAGGATATCAACGCTAAAACAATGCCTATCCGTTTTTAAAATGAAGTTCATTCTGCAAGCGGGGTCCGAACCAAACTTCCACGTCACTCTTCTCAATGGGGCCAGTGACATAGCTAGTTGTTACAAACAATCTATCGATTTTTGTTATAAACTTTCAGCTGGAGAAGGGATTACTAGGGAGGGGAGGAGGAGGGGGTCAATGATTGTGCCTGCTGATTTCAAATTCACATCAAGGGACAAAATCTTGCACTAAGTGGGACTGCATAATCTTACATATAAAGCTGAATGTCTGTTTGTTTCTGTCTGTCTGTCTGTATGTCTGTGTGTATGTCTGTACGTATGTTCCGAATAGAAAATTCCATTTCTGAACCGATCCGGACCAAACTTGGCACACATACAATCGGGCCCCGGCGGGTGTCATAGGCTACTTTTCGTCATCGATCGATATCGATTTTATCGATTTTTTGCAAAATTTGAGCTACGGGGGGCTGGGAGTTGGTACAGGGGGGTCATGCTGATTACGAATAAAATAATGACAGAGCCGGGCGGAGCCGGGTAAGCCATCTAGTTCATCATAAAATGTTGACAAGGCTGAGTGGAGCCAGGTGTGGAGTGTGTCAGATCGTCAGAAATTCAAACAGACATCTGTCGTCTGTGCCCGAGAAAGGTTTCTATGAATATCATCAACGTGGCTGCTATTCGATCGCTTTAACTGCCACTTCGAATAAGCCCCTATTTTGCTGGAGTTAACTTGTTAAAACGATGGCAAAGCAGCCATTTTGATCTTCTACCTATGCAAACTTTGGGGCACAGACTATGTAGTGATAGGATGAGGTTCTACTTCTCATTATCGCGCATATGTTTGCCAGAGTATACTTTATAAAGGTCCGGGCAAAAATTCGATTTCTAGAAAATCCACTTATTGGGGATTATCCGCAACGTTCAATCCGAAATCCACATTAGAAGGCGCGAAAACGGGGGGAACATGCCTTTTCCAAAAAATTACAATTCGAAATTCGACGGTTCCCGAAGGCTGGGACGCAGAGTTTCTGCGGCACCCTACGATTTTGACTGTGGCGGCATGCGTACTCTGCCGCCTAACAGGGATTCGGACAGGTCGGAGGACCCCGTCCCAAGATGTAAGTTTCCCCACTTTCCGGTCGTTTTTCTTGCTTTAGGTCGAGCGTTATGACGTCGCACTGGCGCGATGTTGTCGGGGGGCCACTCTCGCATGGCACTGAAATCCCAAAACCCCCACCTTGCTCGGACACTGCCTTTAAAGCCGTGGTATCTAGGACTTGACCAAGAATTCGAATAAGCTTACCCTCCGATACTATGCAAAACAGAAGTCGGCTAAGCTTTTCAGGCCAGACATGCACCACGCGATTCGCCCGACATGACCTGTTATGAGTCCATCAATTGATAGTTATTCGCGATTAGTCGCGTCGTAAATTGTCACAACTGAAATGTAGAATGATCAGTATGCAATGGACTCGTAACAGTTGTCTTGTCGCGAAAATCGCGCGGCGATGAGATCTGTGATATGCCCAGCCCTTTTCTCATTACCCCTAATTTGATACATTTTATAAATTCGGTTCTGATAGGCTCTTAAATGCAGATCTCGGATCTTGAACTGAGCGAGTATTTTCTTACAAAATCATATGAAGACATTTATACAATCAAAGCCAAGTTCTTCTCAAATAAAACACTAGCAAGTGTAAATCAAGTACTTGACTTCACATTTGGGCAACATGGCATTTGGGAGAGGAGAAACGGAAATATTTCCTTACAAAACTGAGAACGGCATTACTAAACAATAACGATATACGAGATGGTTCTACAAAGAAACAGATGCTGTCAAGTTAGGAGGCGCGCTCAAAAGAGCATCATTTTGAAAAAAAAATATGCGTTCCGAAGTTTGCGAACCACCTCAGCACTAATCTGTCATAAAGCTTTTGTATGGAAGGGGAGACTAGAAGCAATGAGATGCGACGAGATTGCGTATTCAAAGCATTTCAAAAAAAAAGTAATGGCTAACGGCTGGACGAGAACTAAAGAAGTGTACGAACGAATAATGAAATGGCGGGCACATATTTGAGCAGACTTCCCTATCTGGAAAATCCTACTTATAAATTATGTAAAGTATGCGAAGAAACAAGCTCAACTCCACGAAAAAATATGCTAGTATTTGAAAATGTGGCTACTTAGCAACCCTGCTGAATAGGTTCAAACGAGATTACACAGCTTTCAAGTTCAGGTCAAGATTACGCAAGGTTCTCCGCCAATGTTGGAAACGAAACGACAAGAATAACGTTTAGGAATGATAGACTCCCAAATGTGTCCGCCATCATATCGGATGCCAAGGAAGCATAAACCGGGTTGTGAATCAAAATCAGTACCCATTCTAGAAAGCGACCACACCGTAGTGTTTCCACAGACTAGTCAGTTACAATAAACGAATATAAACACCGTTGCAAAAAAACGTTGAATTTAAAGAGCTATAAAACAGACAGTATTTCAGATTCTGGACTTGAATACATGAAGGAAAAATAGTGAAAACCTCGTCCGAAATGCTGCAAGAATTCGAACCTTATGGTTACGAACAAGGAACAACACTGCATTAGAGCAGTGGCTTCTCAATAAAAAAGAAAAAAAACATAAGGAAGATGAAAACAATGTCCCACAGGATTCTACCACTGCTCAAATCGACACATGAACGATAAGTAAATCAAGACGGTACCATTAATAAGCTTGTCAAATGCCTACGGTAGTTGCTGTTGTCGGCGAACAGCTGGATGAACCACTAGTTGCCATTACAGATTGAGCGCTACCGACAGTGAGGTTTGCGTCTCGACGAACGGCATTCGACGAGAAACCTGGCAACGTTGGGAAACGTATGCCGATATCTCGCGATAACTTCACTGGCACCTAAAAAAGGTTCATCTCAAATCCAAAACTTCACTGTGTAAGTCAGTGTGCGCGATTTGTAAACATCCTTTTTCAGAAACTACAAGCTACGTGCACTTATTATGGGAGAACACTGATAAAAGAAATCCATTAATAAGATCGAATATCATTAAGTGATTGAATGTCATTCCTTGAAAATGACAGAATAATAATTGTGTTGAACCTTATTTTCTATGCTATCTAGCCTTCTAAGAACAATTTGTCCTATAAAAATGATCTAAACATAAATCAGGCGAATTATGTGAAAACTGAGGACCGAAGCTCAGAAGACAACTGTCTTGTCTGGCCTATCAAAACGTATGATCGCTACAAGCATTTTCAGTCCGCACAACCGCATCCCAACAAAACTGCGCTGCATTCCTCGTTAGTTGTCTTGACAAGAAAACCACAAGCTCCACTAATATTGCATTCAGTTGTTATGTAACAAAAGAAAAACGGAGGTTTACAAATCTGCACTCAACAAAGGTATCCGTGCAGGTCAGATTAGCCGACGTAACATAGGGAACCAAACCATGCTTTACAACATAAAGGGATGAAAAGCTAACTCATGAGGATACGCACAGGTTGTCTGCCGCAGCTCTCTCTCGATCAGATGTCGATTTTCACACAGCGCGAAGAATCACTGTTGAGAAGGCGGCGCAAGAAGGCATGGCGAACTGTGGATGGCGGGCATGGGGCTGGTGGAGTGACCAGCTTTGCGCGACAGTTTGCGAGAAGCCGCACGAGCTAGCAACGAGGAAAATGTGCTCTAAAAATACATATCAACACAAGGCCACACAGCGCCTAGAGCAACATCATGGGCTAAAAGCTTTTCTTGGGCTCAAGTTCAAAGTGAGTTCTTTCATTTTATGCGGTTCGGCATGACAGCAGTTGCTAACAAACGCACGCGCAAACTGATCTGTTGATGTTTGCATTCAACATATGACCCTGGTTGCACTTTATTGTATGAGCTATGTTCTTCTGAACGCGCTTCCAATATTTGCAGGGTGCATCGTGATGGATACGACTAACATGTACCCAACCCGATGCGGTGATCCATCATTTACATCGAACTTATCCGGATGATGTAATCAATGACTCAACCCATATCAAACTAAAATAATCAACAAAAAGGCAAACTGCTCATTTCAACTCTCCCTCATCATAAAAAAGATGTGGTGAACTAAGAGCAAGATGAAACTGAATCAGACGAAAAAAAAAAATAAAAGACAGCGAAAAGCAAGCATGTTTCAGATTAAAAGAAGTTCAAAAAACAGGTACATAACGCAAAGGGTATAGAATTCAAACATATAAATGATCTTAGAACATCGTTATCTTTCCGAGTATCGAGTCGGTAAAACTTCTGTAACGAGTCATAAATTTCCGTTAGCGAAGGTTTACCTATTAGCGTAGTCACTTCAGTGTGCAAAAACAGCAAGTTTATAGCTGAAAGTCTTTTTTACGGTCATTTTAATCATTAGTGGCCCATCAGGTGATGAACTAGGTAACGGACAAAGTCGTAGACAATCTAGGGCATTGGCAAAAGAGTACGGCGGAATCGTTACTGCTCATTGTCTGGAGATAAACATTCTACCATGTGGACGCGCTTCAATAAATAAATTTTAAAAAAATTTATCAGACATTTATTGAAGATCAAGTAAATTCTTATCCATCGTGCCCGTGATATATAGAAAAATTCCGTAAATTTGTTTTTCCGTTCTTGCAGCCCAGTCTAGCGCCTGATTTTAAAACGCTGATCAAAGACTGCTGCCATATATTCTGAGAAAAAACATCAAAAAATCAACAAAGAGAGGCATATTATAAAGCAAGGGGAAAAATTTGATTTTAACCACAGACGCGTTTTATTGCCTATTCCTTTGCCGATAGCATTTTTTTTCTACAACACATCCATGGTCCTCATAAAGTTACGCCTCAGGATTAAAAGAAAAATGGAAGAGATTACTCTTCAAAGTAGATAGTGATTAGTGGAAAATACATCTGTTAGCAATGCGTTCTGCAGAACCGTACAATGACCAATTTCGAGCTTACAACCAATCTCCCCAAAAATCTTGCATGCAAACCGTGCACAGGGCATGCGAAGGATGTGCATTATAATGAAACTGACCTTCTTCTTCGACTGTATAAGGAGATCTTTATAGATATCAGATCGCAGGAAACGCTGATAACTATCATTTTTCATCAAACAAAATATGTGATCCTGAAATTTTGCAGTGAAATTTGCAAACCATTCAAAGATTGATGACACCTACCGCTGCTTCATCAAAACTCCAGCGATTTGGATTTTTGAGATTCTCCTCCGTTATTTCCATTACCTGGAAAATTCGGTGTCAAGGTAGCAACAGAACTTCTCGAAAAAAAACTAATCAGAATGGTGAAGACTAACCTTGCAATCCACATTCACGGGAGAAGTTGCATTTGAATCGATGAACTCGTTATAGATTTCTGTGACTAAGACGGGAACCATCCTACAGCTGCATTTTCGCAACTTTTGGACCTAGAAATCACAATTAGCCGAAGTTCGAGGACAAGAGAAAATCAATAAGACTGCATACCTCCCACCAAAAGCGGAGATTTTCACCAGAATACTCTTTATCTAAGAACTTTTGCAATGTTTCTCTACCCAGAACGTCTGCAAGCAACTCTTCGAAGCACTCTTCCCAAAGTTTCAAGCGACGAGTAGAGATATCACCAGTACTGAAAAAAAGAAAACCTTGAAAATGCTGAGATTGCGACGAACAAAACAGACTGACATTTTATCATGCTGCCAGAAATCTACAGTATCACTTATCCACGGATTTGGTTGACTTTGGAAGGGATCGGATACAGAGCCCAAAGGTGTAAGGAATGGATCGAAGGTCTTACGGTGCTCGTGATAGGCCAGATAGCTGCAAGAAAATGATTTTCACATAGGTCATATGCAAACGTTCAAAAAGTTTTTACTTTTCAACAACTTTGGAGGTTCGTAATACATTTTTTGACAGCCGACTATTCAACTGATTGATCTGAAAATAGGTGACTTGAAAATCACAACATTCAACGAAAAAACCAATCTCACCTCTAATTTCAATGTGTCTTGAACCTGAGTACACCTCCTTAGTCCGGGCCTAGCATAATAATTACTACGAAATGATCCACCACTACCAGATGATGAGCCACTGAAATGCAAGCTTTCATACCACATATTGGAACCACCCCTATCATATTCAACAGTTTGAATTTGATTGGAAACAGTCAACATACGACAACAGAATTTGGGAGCGAATCAAAAAAAAACACAGGAAAAAGACAATTTACCAAATTAGGCAAATTGGAAAACCCTATCACTTGAACAATCTCTGCCGTATGAGCTATCTCACAATCAAAGCCTACTTTGAACTTCGCAAATCAAAACATTTGATTGATAATGTGTAAGTCCGGACCTGCTTTGCGCACTCTGTTGTGATGATGCTGGAGCTCCATTTGAAGTGGATGGCATACTGGCATGCGCTGCTGCAGCACTAGTTGAATATGGACTACAACTTTGTGAGGCGGCAGCATTTAACGCAGCATGTCCTCCACTACTATACTTAGGCCGCCCAGAACGGGAGAGTTTCCGAAAATCTACCTTAAATACAATGAGATAGTGATGCTGTATGTCATATCTATCATCAAAACATTTGTAATCAAATGTGTGTACTGCCCACCATTGCAAGCTACTTGACAAACCTATAAGATCAGAATCTGCTCACTTTCAGTAACATCTCTTATTTCCTTGCCCCTTTTGATCTTATTGTTATGTTTCATGCTAGAAAAAGTCCCACTGAGAAGTTAGTAGTATGAATGTCGTCGTCATTTTTTGTTCGTGCGCATAGTGTGCAGGCTCACATATTATTTACAAACGAATCGAGGAGAGATAACGATGGATTATTGCTGCACAAGACCAAGAACGTCGCATACATACTTCTGTGGTGTTTACGCATCCAGGTACTGGTCGATGCACATCCCAAAACGCTCGCTCCTGACTATCCAAAATTTGCCGCTCTAATCGATCCCGTTTTTTGTCTACTCTGAAATGTAAGATTGTAGGAAGAACGTTTTTTCTAGTTAATCAACTTACTTATATTGAGCTTCAGCTTGCATGAAAACAAACTCCCACTTTCGGCTAAACATTTTCTGTAATTTCGCTAAGTTCTCCGCTTCAAAGTCTTCCAGTTCCAAATGCGCCTTATTCTGCATCGTTCTTTTGCACAGATAGACAGCTGTAACATGATTTCGAATACCGGAATGAAAAGCTCAACTAATGAGAATTTGAAACTTAAAAGAAGAGAAAGTAAAAAATAGTCGAGGTGCTATGCACGTTAGCACCAAACCCTTCCCGTAAATTCAAAAAGAAGCTATTTGTTGTTCCTATTGCTTTCGTGTATACTTTCTGATACACAACATATTCACAAAACTAGACAGCATCAGCACGTTACTATCCAAGTTGCGCCAAAAAACATACCGTAATCGGTATTCTCAGGTTCCCAGCAGTTGGAAGGCCAGAAGTATGGAGTCTGAAACCGATAAAAGGTGCCGTCGTTCTTGACTGTGAGCACGTGATCATCTATTTGGAAAAGGTAACCATGGGATGCAATGAGATGTGCTAGGTGGAGCGCATCAGCTGCAAAAAAAAGTTTCGGCAAAAATGGAAACTCTTTTCATTGATCGAACTAGATAACACTCACATAAATCTGACATATCCAAACTCTTCATAATCCATGCTATGAGATCCTGACCCGTGAACACGGATGGCACCTTTGAGAGAAAACTTTTGACAGTTTTTATAGGCACTCCCGTTTCTGCATCCAGCATATGATTGACAAGTGCCTCCATCTTCTGGTACACCATATGGTTCGGATGAACCAACTTCTCCTCCGAGTTGGCGTTCACCCTAAATTAGAAATAATCTGTAAGCTAATCCTGACGGAAAATGGATGAGCGCATCGAATGAGATAAAGCTGTTACTTCAAACTATTCCCTCCAACACACTTTCACTGTCTATGAGATAGATATACAAATCCATGTCTTCGATAAGCGCATTCGCTTGCGATAAGCAGAAACACACGAGTAAGTCCACTATACAATTATCCCGACTGGTGAGGTCATATATACCCAATATATCTACTGTCACCGTCTCCACTGAAGAAAAATTCCCGCACCATTATGATATACGCCAACACAAAGCACGCCCAAAAAAAACTACAATCGTCTCCTGCTTTCTTATGGGTTGTCCCGTAAGTGTCTTCGTATTCAATTTTCACCAACATAAGTCAGTTCCTTTCATTCCTGATAGGATGCGGGGGAATATCCGACAGATTAAAGCAAACTCTACAAAATGGTCTCCAAAAGTTCGCACTAAACTTGATCACCATTAAGTTTAAAGTTGAAATAAAAATTCCAAATTTGAAAAAAAAAACTCATTGAGAAAAATCTTGTAAACTTCCACTTGCTCACGCATATACTCTCCTCATATGACATTTATACACGCAAGCTGCGATTTTCTGGTGAAGAAATCAAGAAAGAGATAATGCGCTGAATTTTCAAACTTGGTCTGTAGCTTCTGTGATTTTCACAAATATGTGATGATAAAGCTTATTCATTTAGAGATACTGCCACAGATTCGCATCCTCGTAGGTGCTATAGTTCGCAAAATAAAAATTTGAAAATTCATACATGGAAAAATTTATGGGAAAACCTCATACAATCGGTCTTCTTCCGATATAAGAACGCCATCGTAAAGGTACACGCCATCGTAAAGGTACAAGTCTGCAGTCCAACATATCCTTCTGGTCATACGCAACTTAATTTATTAGGGCGGAGGGGTGGCAAACAGTAAACGATTGCAAATCGCTGTGGCTTGCGAACGCCGCGTGCGACACAATCTTCGCGCGGTTCGTTTTCGCTGAAAAAATCGCATTTCCAAGGAAACTTCGCTCGTTGCATGGCGAAGGAGAATACAAGAACTGATTAGGAACCAAACCTTCCATGTATGGTCATGATAGGAAGGTATAATACGGCACGGGTGTCAAATTCACATATTTGGCTACTTTTTGTTCTATGGAGATTAGCATGCTAATCACGAATATCGCATTACTTTTTTAAGGAAGCGCAATTTTCTGCTATTACACTGAGTATATGGTTGACCGATCGAATAAAAACTTAAATCTGGTCGAAATTAGTGCGTCACCCAACAAGTCGCAAAAAGATCTTTCAATCACAACCAAGATCATAACCATGATGAGAATGCTGAAGAACCCCCCTCCCCCCTACATGAGAATTGAGCACATCTGAGGCTTTTACTCATCTACTATATACCTACCTAAACAACATAGACGATTTGTGCGAAAAAAGTGTGATATAAGTGATCCTCATGTTAGATAAATCCCATGAACGATTTGAGAGAAATCCACAATTTTGAGAAATCGGGGCCACTTTTAAAGTAGCCAAAATAGCTCCCGCTTATATCACACAATGTAGGACCATGACGTCAGATGATGAACAATGTGGAACATAACAGAAGTGCGAAACAGAACACTTAGCGCAAGATGCAACGAAAAAAAATCCGAATCCCAACGTCGCACGCCATTTTGCCGCGCCTGATTTCGCGGTCCAAAACGTGTTAACCCACTTGATAACTCATGATATACACTAAGACGGTTTCCTGCGACTGACCTCAGAATTTTTATTGCTTTTCGACCTTTGAGCCAATTCGGACATAGGTCGAAAGGTCGAAAAGCAATAAAAAACCAATCCCAGATGGAAAACCATTTGACCGCCTTTGTAGGCTGAATTTGGGTTTCTAATTCCAAAAAGTTTGAAAGGCCTGAGGGTAACGTCACCCATAATCTAGACTCGAATTTGCTGATTTAACACTATTCTGGCCAACTGAGGTTCTGACCTGGGTTAAGAATCTTCTTCTTGGGCTCCAGGCCAAAAAATTAGTTCGAGATGGATGTGATTTACCCATTACAATGGTTGAAGCCGAGACCTCTCCTAGTGCCTCTTCGAAGTTTCGATTACAGTATGCCTACTTCTTTTGTTAACTCCTGGCAACGACATAACCGAATGTGAGTTCCTTACTACCGTGTATCGGATATCGATCCAAATTTGCGATGGCTTTCAGGCAACTTGACATCCGTGTATACTTACATACTTGGAAACTTATGTACGAAGTACTGATGAGGGGCAGCAAGAAAACTACACCACCGGTATACTTCTTAGCCCCGAAACCGGTTGTGTGCAAAAGTTGACTTCAGCTACCTCCATAACTAGAAGATATATAAGTCATTCTTTATTACTTTTCGTACTCCTTCTTTCTGTTATTTATTTTTGTTTTACTCGGATTTTCGATATTCAGCATTAAACAGCATGTAAGCTCTATCAAGAACGCGAATGACTTTAACTGCTTACCGTACGATAGCATTACAAGGGCCAATTTTAGGTTCAAAAGTCAAGTTCACAGAACTTGAGATAGCCTACCTCAACCTCGGTAGGGCCATTTCCGCTCGATGTCACGTTTCTCAGCCTGCTATTCCATGTCTGGGAAGGATCTAAAATGATACGATGGAAAAGTGAACAGCTGACGACAAACAAAGGATTGGAAACGATTGGACCCTAGTAGACATGTCGAACGTCCGTTCAGATATTTATTAGCGATTGAAGGCTTTGAAGATGCAAAAACATATGACATGAGTAACCTTCGGGAAGAGAATGAGAACTGGTTGCAAAACTCTCCTTTTATCATGAACTTGCCAGATTTCGCAAATGCTACGACCGATGAGGGTATGATTTTATAAAAAGCAACTAAATAAGGGCATGAATGTCCTAGCAAAAGCAAAATTGTGGTCTGACATATGACAATCAGATTGATTCCGAAACGTATAAGAAGCCCACCGACTGTTTTTGAGATCTAACGAAGTATAACTCTCGTCTCAATGGTCAAAAACAGTAGAAATTACATGAAGATGGCAAACTCGTGCTCGAGAGACTGAAAATCGATAACAATGAGTACAAGACGGAAATAAAAACTCAAACCCAAGAATATCATCGACACGTCACTTCAGCTGTTCTAATAGAACACGATCACAGACTATGAAAGGACAGCAAATTCTGTCCAAAAATTCACTCAAAAATCGCACATCGAGACCCATGTGGTCGGAAACATGTATGCGTGTGCATGACGTGAATGGAAAGAGAAAGAAACTAGACAACTGCAGCGCGCAGAAATGCCGGCAATTATTTAGGAAAAAGTTAGTGACAAGAATGGAAATAAAGAACAACATTGTTGTGCGCCACTGATGAAAAGATTGGAATTCCAACGGTTGTCGATTCAAACGGACGACCGGAAACCAAGCATAGGGCAGAGCAGAGAAGCATGATTCTTCCTGGGTATGCGTTATAGGAAAAAAAATGAAACTTGACCCTATCAGATTTGAATGCACTTATCAGTGCATGAGGTTATTCGACATTCACTCAATTTGGAATTTTTGATGATGATACTTGCACTGACAGGGTTATGAGCAAAGTAAAAAAGAAACAAAATCTGCGGAAGGAGCATCCTAAATGCTGCACCAATTCAGCTAGTTATTTATTTTTTTTAAGAGGGGCACCAACAAAAAGGAGATTACAAAAACAATAAGATAAAAAAACATTATGAGACATATATGAGGACAAAAGAGTAAATTCGTCAGCTGTTCTTCCCATTGGTGATAAAGAAATTTAAACAACAGCGAGAGCAGAGTAGTGCAAGATATTAATCATAACAGTAACTTGCTAGCAAAATAGGATTCGATTGAATCAGAGAAGGACGTACAAATCTTGTCTGGATCTTGTCAAAATGAACTTTGCAATATGCTGCAGCAAACGCTGTGACAAAGATTCTCTATTGTATGCATTTGCATATCATAAAACCTTTTTAGAAAGGACATTGAACCGAAAAGTTCGAAATGAGCCGTATCGTTGCAAACAAGAATAACAAAAAAGTTTTGGTGCAGAGTAAACGCGAACGTCACTGCACTGATTATTATTACACCAAAGAATCAGAAGGAAGGTATCAGTGTAAAAAGATGGAATCAACGAGCACTATTACAATAAATCATCGGTTACACAAACAACGAATTCGATTAAAAAAATTGCTGCAGGAAAGGCTGCCAAAAAAGTTGCCTATACCGTATTATAGCAACAAAGCTCTACGGGCACCAAGCTTGTGGATACTTGATGAAGGCGGTTTTAGAGGTATTTATCAAGGTTCGAAATATGTCTCATCAAAAATGCAGAACTAACTGTCATAAAAAGCAACTCCGCCCTTGCTGTGTATGCAAGGGCGGAGTCGCTTCAGGCTATAAACGAGGAAGTGAGAACGGTACAGACCTAGATGAATAGGGGAGGCCGAAAGTACTATGTAGTACTAAGTAGTATGCCAGTAGTACTAAGTACTACTGGCAGAAAAAAAGAATGGCAAATAAAAAAAGAAACAAGGAGAGGAGAGATGAAAAGCTAGAAAAACTGGAAACCCACAAACGTGCAAATCAGGTGGAAAAGAGACGTGATGGCGTTGTGAGAAACAATAACAACACGTGTGATCGTAACGGCGAGGGCGAGGGTCAGTTCAGCGATTGATGGACTGCGACAGTACAATTGATATGGGAGTGCTGCGCATAGATAGAGGATTGTGTGCTGAATTGATTAAAGTGGAAGAGGGGGAGTGGCCGATCGATCCGGGCGCGAGCCTTCGCAGCGCCGCGGGCACGAGTGCCGTTGGCCGCGAGCAGGCGCGCGACGGCGCGGTCGCGGAAGGCCGCGGCGCGTCGCGGCGCGCATTCCGCTACTCGCGCACCCGCGATCGCGACTGCTCTCCTCGTCGACCGTGTCGACAGTACTGCGGCCGTGCCAATTGCTCCAGATTAAACCGGCACTCTGGCTGTGCGAAGCGCTTCGTCGCAGCAACAGACTCAGTGCGTCGTCGCGACCACAACGTCCTCCGATGTCGCTATCGGGCCAAACCCTTCAGCCACGGACGTCGAAAATCAACTCGCTGAACAGATGTCAATCAAGTTCTTTTCAGGACTTCAGGTTAGGGATGCACTTTTATAGTTTTAACATCATAAAATGCGTATTGGGCGATGAAAAGGTTAGTTGAAAAGTCAGAAGGTTAGCATTCTTTGATGAAAGCTTTTCTCCTGTTGTGACTAAGCGAATCGCCACTTGCACACATTATCAAAACAAACATAGTCGTGCGGTTGAGAAGTTTATACTTGTGATCTAACTGGCCTTGGATATATGCTACTTGGAGACAGGAAACAGTCAAGCCTGTTCAGCAATGTGTACGAAGCGGTTACGTAAAAGAATGATATCCGAAATTTTACGGAACTCTTCACTGAAATTTTGCTTTGTCTTTGTTCTGTAACGAGATTTTCTTTCTTTATTTTCATTCTTAGAACAGTTCACTGCTATCTTTCTTTTCTCTAAAATCCTCGCATGTGTAACCGGGGTGTCATTTGTGGTATACGGTATCTCTGTTTTTCTTGACTAGGTTAGATCCGCTTATTGAGTTTCTTAGGTAAACCGTTAGGCAATATTGTTTTGTGTTTTGTTTTGTGTTTTGTCCTTTTTTTTGTTACGTGTTGTTCTCTTGCTACTCTGGATCTCTTTTGCGCGGTAGCTATCTTAAGGGTTCGTGCACTCACTTATTGAAGATCACGGTGTTGCGAAAGCGCGCCAAAACTTTGACCTCGTGTTGTCTCCGCCCGTTAGGGCAGTATTGCCATCAGTTGTTGTTTTTGTTTCTGTTCGTGCGCACATTTGAGTTTCTTTTTTTCGTCGCTCGTTCCTCTTCGTATTTCTTGCCGATAAACGATTCGTTACTTGAGCGTTCTAGTGAGTCGAGCGCGGTATTACCGCAACGTATTCCTAGGCTATCCAGTAGCCACTTGGGGGCCGAACCACTCACTAGAACGTTGGGGCATCAGTGATCCCCAGCAGAGAAATAAGAAAAGCGGCGGCTGTGCCCCGCTCAGACTACTAAGGAAGTGTCTTAGGACCTTCCAGAAGAAGCACGTTGGGGCATCAGTGATCCCCACAAGAGGAACAATAACGCGGCGGCTGTGCCCCGCTACATCAGACAAGGAGGTGTCTTAGGACCTTCCAAGTTGAACACTTGGGGCATCAGTGATCCCCATTATTGAAGTAGAAAAGCGGCGGCTGTGCCCCGCTCAGAGTACGAAGTAAATAAGGAAGCGTCTCTGGACCTTCCGAAAGAAACATTTGGGGCATCAGCGATCCCCATAACGAAGTGGGTGATAAGACGCGATTAAAATTTCGCCTATTCTAATCGCGTTTTGTCATTCGCAGAAGCAGCGGTTGTACCCTGCAGTAAAATCTCGGGAGAATAAATCACCGAGATCCCGAAATTGGGCTAGTCTCGATTTCGATCGATTGAGCACCAATACATTGTGCTACTCTGCAAATCGATAGCGATTCGTATAAGCTAAATAGCGCGACTGGGGCAAAAAAAAAAATTGAGTAAAAGCCACTGTAACATCCTAGTAACCACGAAAAGTACTAGTAATTTCGCGCAAGTTAGTACCGTTATTGTGATTTCGCAATTCCGCGTCGTTCAACGTTTTCACGTCGTGCAACGTATTTGCTTAAGCGTTTATACTATATCAACTCTTGTTCATTACAGATAAAAATGCCAAATTCTGTGCTGGAATCGAACGAACAAGCCGGTGAAGGCGATCAAGTGGAAAAAGAGGTAAGAATGCAAAGCTCCGACTTGCAAGACAAAAGTAAAGAGGTTCACCAAAGCCTAACTCGGCTAAAAATAGAGTGCGAAAAGGAGCTAAGCGCATACTTTCGCGCAGGCGACAAGCGTAGAGATGCGATAACAGCAAAATTAGATCAACAAGCGCAAGTTGTTGAAAACGAAATCAAGGAAATTATAAATAGTGCAGTAGGCGCTGGGAACGTTACGGGAGCTATGCAGATAGAACCTGACATAGTCGAAATCTTAGTGCAGGCGAAAATGACTTCAGCAAAAGAGCTAGAACGCTGTCTTGATAGGAAGCTAAGCCAAAATAGCCTGATCGCAGGGTTATGTAGCATCTTAAACTGCGATGAAAAACATCTGCAAAATGAAGTTATCAGAGTAGTGGATGAGGCAACAAGTTACAGAAACAAATGGAACGAGGCTACGGAACGTGCTGAAAGCTTACAATTGCAGGTCCAGCACCTCACTGAAAAAGTGAAGAAGTTTGCCAAAGTACGCTCACACGTCATCCAGAGCGATGCGTCAGACGACTCCGATGGTGAAATAGATGAAGCAGGTAATGCTGATGTTACAACGGTCCATAACAAATATGCAAGATTTGCAACTGTTAATGAAGATAATGGAATTTTATTGCAGGACCAAACACACCCCGAGACAAGTACCTCGAGTCAATGGACCCCGAAACCTTATTGGCGTACGCGCAGGCCAGAATTCGGCAACAACAATCCACGTCAATTGGCCATAGGTACGCACACGACGCTTCCTCAAGAGCCAAGAAGCAACTCTGCTGTTGAGTTTACCATGAAAGATTACATGCTAGCGAGTACAGTACCCAATGTTCGACCGTTCCATGGTAAACCAACAGAGAGTTTCAAAAGTTTTGTGGAGGCATTTTCGATAAAATACCCAAAAATGTGCTGGGATGATCAATACTTGATCAAAATCTTTAAGACTTTTCTAAGAAGGGAAGCTTTAAATTTATACGAAACATTGCCGCAAAGTCTAAAAGAGGGCTCTTTTGACGGTGTTGTCCAGGCAATGGCGGAACGCTTATCGGAAGGGGGCAACACTTCATGTGTAAAAGGCTTGAAAATGTTGAGAAGTCTTAAAATACGAGACAATCAATCAGTTAGTGATTTCTGCGTTGTACTGGAGAAAGCGGCCTCCCAGGCGTTTCCTGGTGAAGATTTGAAGGGGCTCTCACTCCTGAAAGCAGAGATCCTATACTCGCAGCTGACGAAGTGGGAAGGCAGCTTTATTTTGGCAGACGCGCTTGAAAAAAGCCCCAAGGATACAGTGTACGACAACGTCAAGGATGCAGCCTTGATGTTAGAAAGGAACCTATGCCGAAAGGACGAAAAACCGGAGGGGGGTTCACACCACAAGAGGCTGCACGTCGACCGATCATCACCGAGACAGTGGGTGAAATCGGAAAAGGAGGTCGTTGAAAGAAATGGAAATAATACACCAGTGGAAGAGAAACGAATAAAGAAGACACTAAACTATGCAGATGCGCCAAGACAGTGCTTCAACTGTGGGAAAATGGGACACAAAGCTAAGCAATGTACGGTGCAAATCACCAAAACCGATACTTCTAGGCAAGGGGAAGAAAAGGAGGCGGCACTCTTTTCAACTGTTCTTGACAGCTGGTTGTGTGCCAGCACGGACGCCAAACAGAAAGCAGGAGAATTCTTCGGAAGAAAGTTATTAGTACCGGCAACGGTAATGAACTTGGAGATAGAGGCACTCATTGATACGGGCTCGGAGACGTCAATAGCTCCACTGCAGCTATTCAAAAAGGCAAGAGATGCAGGAATAGACGTCGACGCTTACGTAGAGAGAGTTCCAGAAATGACTGATGTTACGATACGCACTGCTTCTGGAGACAAAATGGAAATCTTGGGCGCAATAAAAACTACCATAGAAGTTTGGGGAAAGACTGAGAACATCTCCCTTTTTGTCAGCAGGTCGCTTGAGGATGTACTGATTTTGGGAACAAACGCACTTGGCAAGTTCGGCTTCAAAGTTGTGACAGTGACACCATTTTTGACTTAGCCAGCAAACAAGAGAGGCCACAGTTGTTTCCAGCTGTAGTGAAAAACCGTACGTACATACCATCGGGAGCAAGCAGAGTGGTAACTGTATCCTATCTGGAAGACAGCTCTCCACGCATATTCTGCTCAAACTCCCCTCAGATACCAGATGGGATCTGCCAGCCGTCAACCAAAGGAGAGACTGAAATATCGGTGACAAATAGAGATGACCAACCGTTAGTACTGCAAAAAGGGCAAACTATCGGCAACTTCGAAAACGGCGAATGGATTGACAGTAAGTGGTTGGAGCCGACGGCAGATGCTCTCGACTTCCACAACGGAGAAAACAAGACTGGAGAACAAAGAGTGCAGGAGGTGATAGCAGCACTCAAAACAAATGACAAATACCCGGAAGAATTGCTGAAAATTATCAAACAGTATGCTGACGTGTTCGCGATCAACGACTCCGAACTGACACAAACAAGCTTGGTAACTCACAACATCGATACAGGGAATCACCCACCGATTAAGCAAAAGACGCGACCAGTACCCATAGGAGCTCGACAAGAATTCAAACAAATCATCAAAAATCTCGAAGAGAGAGGAATTGTCCGAAAAAGTAGGTCGGAATGGGCATCACCAGTGGTGTTGGTGAGGAAGAAGGACGGAACCTTGAGACTTTGTGTAGATTACAGAGAATTGAACAAAGTCACAAAACATGATTCCTATCCCCTCCCATCAATCGACATTATCCTTCAGAGTCTCAGTGGAAAAAAGTACTTCTCCACCCTGGACATGATATCAGGATACTGGCAGATACGGTTATCAGAAGATGCCAAGCAAAAAAGTGCTTTCACTACAAGCGAAGGTCTCTTCGAGTTTGAAGTCCTGCCGTTCGGATTGACAACCAGTCCAGCAGAGTTTCAGCGCATGATGGACATGGTTTTAGAAGGATCAGGAGTCAAGGATAAAGAAGTTTTCGTGTATATAGACGATATCCTGATCGCCACGGATTCATTGGACAGGCACTATGCTGTCTTGGAGCTCGTATTCGAAGCTTTGAGGAAAGTCAATCTCAAGCTAAAACCGCAGAAGTGTGAAATTCTGAAGTCGCAAGTAGTTTTTCTCGGGCACATCATCGACAAAAATGGAGTACACACAGATCCGGATAAGATAAAACGGATAGTGGAATACCCAACTCCAACGAAGTTGAAGGAGCTTCGCACCTTCTTGGGCATGGCAGCGTACTACCGAAAATTCATACTGAACTTTTCAAAGATAGCTAAACCACTATACATGCTCACAAGTCCCAAGAATGCATGGAAATGGGCAAAGGAGCAAGAAGATTCGTTTAACAATTTGAAACAAAAGTTGTGTACAGCGCCAGTACTAGCGCAACCGAATGTCGCGTCAGCAAGAAAAGGAACACATCCGTTTATCATATATACGGATGCGTGTACAGAAGGCCTAGGTGCAGTACTTTGTCAAGAAAGTACGGACAAGATGCTACATCCTGTCTATTTCGCGTCGAGAGGACTAACAAAAGCCGAAGCCAATTACCACATCACGGATTTGGAGGCTTTAGCTCTCGTTTTCGCGCTGAAGAAGTTCCATTTCTTCGTATATGGAATGAAAACTATAGTCAGGACTGACCACCTACCTCTTACAAGTTTGTTTAAAAGAAGCAACATCTCTGCCAGAGTCTTGAGATGGGCTCTAGAAGTGCAGAAGTACAACTTGGAAATCCAGTATGTAAAAGGGAACACAAATGCAGTAGCGGATGCGTTGTCGCGCACAGCATTTCCAGTAGAATCCGCGTTTTGCGAAGAAAATGCCGCCATAGTGTGCACAGCACAGGCACAAGCCAAAACGGAATGGCTGGAAGAGTTGAGCCAAGATAAGGACTACGCGAAGGTAGTCGAAGGGCTCGAACAAGGTAGAATGGATGAAGAAATCCAACTACCAAGATGTGGGAAAAAGCTGCATATTGCAGATTTCCTCATAAGCGAAGGACTGCTTATGATGATGATAGGGGACAAAGCACTGAAAGTCGTCCCAAAATCAAAAAGAAAGGAACTATTTGATGAAGCGCATGCAGGTGCGTTAGCAGGGCACCTCAACGCTAAGAAGTTGTACCGGAAGTTAAGCAAAGACTTCTTCTGGAACGGAATGCAAGAAGACATAGCCAAGTGGACGAGGGCTTGCACAAAGTGTTTCGTGACGAGAGCACATGAGAAGAATACCCCTCCACTGAAACCAATCGTGACAAACAAGCCGTTTGAGCTGGTGGGCATGGACCTAGTAGAGCTAGGGCTGACAGAAAGAGGAAATAAATATGCACTTGTAGTGATCGACCATTTCTCCAAGTTCGTAGGAGCATATCCCATAGCGGATAAGAAAGCAGAAACAGTTGCAAGGGCATTTTTTGAGAGATGGGTATGCGGAGGTTGTCGCTGGCCCAAAGCCATACACTCCGATCAAGGGCCGGAGTTCGTGAACAGTGTTCTGTCGGAAATCTGTGCCATGGTGGGTATACAGCAGTCTGTAACGAAAGGTTACAACCCACGTGAAAATGGGATCACAGAAAGAGCGATCGGCACACTGACCAGGATGCTGAAAAAGCAGACAATAGTACCAGCTGAATGGGATACCTTATTGCCCATGGTAGTTTTTGCATATAATTCAGCACCCCATGACTCAACTGGGGAAAGCCCCTTTTATATTCTGCACGCTTTTGACCCCGGATTCCCGTCAAAGGTAATGCCGCCAGACGAGCTCTCTTTCAATCATCTCGACTTAGATGATTACAAACATGAGCTTCTAGCTAGTATTGAATTAATTCAAAGGTCGGTACGGGAGCGCAATTTGCAAATGAGAGAAAAAATGAAGCAAAGTTATGACCAAAGGTTCAACGTTGAAAGAAAAGATTATCCCTGCGTAGGTGATAGGGTCTTCTTGAAACTGCCACGTGAAAAAGGAGCTGAGAAATATCCTAAATTTTGTAATGACTGGAGTGGACCTTATAGAGTGTTAGAAGTCAGTGATAATTCCGCACTTTTGTCGCGTCTTAGTAGTAACGACGAACCCATTAGAGCTCAGCATGATATGTTGATAAAAGTTCCTCAAGAAATAGATGATACCCCATTAGTAAACAAAACTAAAAGATGGAGTAGAAAAAAGTTAGAGGTTGCCAATAGTGATAGTAAAACTGTTTTTTGCAGGGCCACGGCATACTCTGATAATTCGGCATTGAGTCTGTTTCACATCTGTCCTGGACCACGAGATGACGATTTGGATTGCGATATACGTGGGAAGACTTTTGGAGACGTTGTGCCCGGAACGGATCCAGTGATCGCGACACTGCCGATAACAAGCATATTTTCACTAGCTCGCTACATCTCCATCTACGAGCACGAAAGAGATGCCGATAAAAGAAATTTTTTGATGAGAGACAGGAAGCACGTCTTCGTCACAACATCCGGATCACAGAAAGCATATGTCTATTTCAAACGGCACTGCCTCCACACCATGCGCGATTTGATGCGCCACGATGGAAGTACCTTAATGATGAGACACGACGGAAACGTGGGATTGTCGATCGACCAAGTCAACGCATTGACCAACGAAGGAGTCAGATTCGCCATGACGCACTCTTGGACAGACGTAAAAGTTGAAAAGAAGAAGGAAAAATCCCTATTTTTGCTCCCAACAGGATTCACATTTTACAAGTATGTAGTGCAGTTCGGAGAACAGACCACGGCATTCATCTATAAGAATCTCCCAGACATATGCAAGAAGCTCCGTGACGTACAAGAACCGCACAATATAATCTTCGTCGGGCCCACATCACATGAAACGCCACCTGAAGGAGAATGGATGAAATTGAGTCTAAGCTTTACAAGCGTAGCACGAGCCGGCTCCAAGATTGTAGCTGTAGCACCACCAAGGGGTGAACCCGATTGGGAATCGACACGGCTGAAGATAATAGACATGATGAATACAGTAAGGGACGCCGCATACGCGACGAGAGCCAACATTGTTACGAAGATACCACAAGCTCCATCTGTGTCTGAGCCCGCATTGGCAGTTGGCATAAGAGCGAGGAAAGACGAAGAAAGTGGATATCCGAACGCAGTAATCTGGGACTTCTTAAGTACACTAGTCGACTATGTGAAAGGGGACGTACCCCTAGAACCACTTACGGAAGTACCCAAACAGAAGAAAAGTCGACACCATCCAACGGAACGTCACCACCAGAGCAGTTATTCATACAATGGATTCGAACATCACTCAAGTTCTTCCTGGCCACGACATAGATTCGAACATCACCCGCATGCTCGAAGTTCAGATGACGGACCGCACGGAGAAACGGGATATAGACCGGAGCCACATGGACGTGGCCGCCCTTATGGACGTCCAGGGAATGCACCCGTACGAGGACGAGGAAGATATTTTGGTTACCGTTTCAGACCTTATTGAGTGTCAGGGACGACACTCGTCGTAGGGGGGGAGATGTAACCGGGGTGTCATTTGTGGTATACGGTATCTCTGTTTTTCTTGACTAGGTTAGATCCGCTTATTGAGTTTCTTAGGTAAACCGTTAGGCAATATTGTTTTGTGTTTTGTTTTGTGTTTTGTCCTTTTTTTTGTTACGTGTTGTTCTCTTGCTACTCTGGATCTCTTTTGCGCGGTAGCTATCTTAAGGGTTCGTGCACTCACTTATTGAAGATCACGGTGTTGCGAAAGCGCGCCAAAACTTTGACCTCGTGTTGTCTCCGCCCGTTAGGGCAGTATTGCCATCAGTTGTTGTTTTTGTTTCTGTTCGTGCGCACATTTGAGTTTCTTTTTTTCGTCGCTCGTTCCTCTTCGTATTTCTTGCCGATAAACGATTCGTTACTTGAGCGTTCTAGTGAGTCGAGCGCGGTATTACCGCAACGTATTCCTAGGCTATCCAGTAGCCACTCATGCTTGAGTCGAGTTCTTGTACATCCATCAAAGAAGTTACCTTCATCTCCATCCGTTGGTGCCTCACATTCTTGTGCTTGCAGTGCAGATTGTCTAATTTAATTTTAAAGGTAGGAGAACCCCTTACCTAATTCCATTTCGCAGGTGCGTAAGGCGCAGAAATCATGAATTGTTCGGTTCATATAAAAATTTCTCGTGATGTATTGAGCGTCCTTTGTTCTTTTGCAAGGAAACATAGGACGTTTTTGTGTGCTTCCTCAAGCAAAGAATTACTATCATAAAGACGTCACATCTGTTCTGCCCATCAATATGTAACAATAGCTATGCAGTAAAGTTTGGTTTTGGGATTGAAGCGATGCATGGTGCACAGAAAACGATTCTTCTTTTTCACGTTACCAGTCCTATCATTATTTCAGTAAGTATAAGTTTACGCAAAGAATGTGTTTTGTGACAGTTGCTAAATTTTTTTCAATCTCTCATTCAAAAATCTACCTAAGAAGCATCTTTTCAGCAAGCTGATTATCAGTTTTTTTGCTAGAATAGGAAAACGTGGTATAAGAAGCGATTAACAAAATTCTTCGTGATTTTCGCTTTTTCTCACTGCCTTTGCTGCTACCTTCATGTCTGGTGATGTCATTTCAGTACTTAGTTAGCTATGGGAAGTTTATAGTTTTCTCTGTGTTTACTTTCCAGGAGATGGAATCATACAATGTAGAATGAAAAAAAACTTGTTTTTATCATGAGTCATCGTAGCACCTGAGAAGGGCCGGTTTGTGGCTGAAGTCGGGAGTGAGTGTAAAAGGTGTTTGATGACGGAGAGACCATTTACAGAACAAGTTGTCATGCACCTAACTATCAGTGCAAATGTCATTACCAATTAGATATATCTCACCTTGTTTCCGGATTCACTCAGTGTTCTGATAAACTAATACAAAAGAGAATGCGCTCTCTAATTTCTCACGTCATCGATACTAATTTCACTCACTTCAATGAGTTATCTATTTCAGGATTTACTTGGCCTGTATGATGCTTCGATAGCATCCACTAGTCATTCCACGGCTCACATACCTCCAAGCAACGGCTTGTTTTCGCCAACAACGACAGGCACCTCTAGTCTATTACGACGCAAAAGTGCTGGCGAACATAACCATGCCCTCAGCAACGAAGGTGTGTTGTTTGTTATTGTGTTTGTATAAATGGAACGCACAATTCTCTCTCCAACAAATATTTTCTAGTTGTATTTTTTCCTGAATTGTTCAGGAATACAGCTGCAGCAAGTAAGGTTGTTCTTAAGCGTAGTTAGGTGATCAGGCGAGCCTTTTTGAAAGATGGCCTTACTGAAGAGGCTGCGGAGTTGTCTTTTTTATTGTAGCATCGGATGATCAAGTCAGTGTTTGGACAAAGAAGATCTCAGGTAGTTGAATATGATTTCAAATGATTGTGCGGATCAAAGATTTTTTCATATCATGATTTTCAACTTTGGAGAAATGCGGAGTAAAGTCTTCGAAGAAACGAATGACGCGATATAGTTCTGACCGTGGTTGTATCAGTCTTCTTAGTCATATAAGTTGCACACTTTTCAAAGTTTGCCTATTAGCCATAGAAGTATGAATAGTTTGTTCAAAACCTGACCTTCTTTGTGTTCTTTGGTATAGGCCTTGTTAATCTTTTTGCATATGTTTGCGAATCTTCGTCTTTCCGAGTATAATGAGATATCTCAAAAGAAATGTCAGAAAGGTCAGCTGACAAAAAAGCAAACCGGTTTCTATGTATTGAGGGAACAGTTTATGAATCCTTGGAGCGGTCACAAATGACCATTCGAAGTCGTTAGAATCACAAGTTGTTTTGAGAGATGAGTTGTACATCGCTAGCAAAAAGCATAAAAATTCAAACGTTTTTGAACTCGTAGTAGCACATGCTAATAAGTTGCTGCATGCGATTTTCAACAAAAAATTTTAGCTGGAGACGATGACGTACAAATAAGTAAATGCTCTCACGATCGAAAGGTGAGATTCGACGATGATCAGCTCATATCTGGATACTGTGAGGCGTCAGCACCATCGTTTGCTATAAACGAAGAAGCACAGACAGACGGAGGTAAAGGTAGGTCAAAATGCGAAGCTAGTGTAATGAGCAGTTCAAAGGGAAGGGATGGAGTATTTTTTGGTCAGTTGAGGTATTACGGTAGACATTTGATGAGGAACTTGGGAACTTGTATGTAATGAGTTCATCATGCTCTTTAATAATTTAGCAAGCACAAAACGTATATAGTTTGACAAGCGTAACGTTTTTTTTTTCAAGTGTGTATGAAATATGACGTTCTCCTCATAATTTGGAATATGCAGAGAAAATTATTGATCAAGTGGAAAGTTTGCTTCATTCAGAGATTTCGGATGGTCTTACAGCAACCTTCGGTTTTTGATGAATATACTTTTTCCTTGTTTTTTTTCAAATCACTATAACTTTTTTTCTGAAAATGAAGGACATGAATGCGTGCATCTGTTTTGGTCACTTTGAATAGATGTGATCTCCATCTGTAGCAGGAATTTTCTGTATCTGTTCAGTTCGTGAGTTCCTTAAGGGAGATTCGTCATCTTCTCTGTGACTAAAACAAGGTAACAAACACGAGGGTCTGAGGTCTAACTATGAAAGAAGGGTATGTGTGCGCTCATTACGTATAGTGGCTTTTTACAGTATTTTCACAATCTTCCTTTTTTTCGTTATAGAGGGCCCTAACGTCGAAGAGATTCTACAAAGCTATCGCAAATCATGTCAGAAAGTGGGAATTGAAGCCATAGCTTCAGTGGAACGTCAGCTGGAGGTTTGCCTTTTCCGGATTCTCATTGTTACGTGGCTTCATCATCGTAATGATCACTCCAGAAACTGCAGCGAACGTCTTGTGCACGACAGGAAGTTTTTTCGCTAAAGGGTGAGCGTGTATCAGCCGAACAAATGGAAGCGCTCGAAGAAGTATTTCGGAGGGTGCAGTTCGATATGCTCGACTTTGAATACACGTTTCTTGATGACGATGTATGTTTCATGTAGGTTTTGAACTGTGATAGAATGTAAAACAGAAAGACTTCAGGCTGCGATCGCTTTAAGCGAAATGTTTGAATTTTATGAATCAGCCCAGAAACTGAATCTTTCATTCAATAAGCAAATAACCATCAGAGGGTGGACGGATGTGTTCAAGGCTGTGAAAAATGTGAGCTACATAAATAGGTTTGCAACTAATTGCCTGCTTAATCAATTTTTTAAGAGCAATTGTCTGCAAATGCTTAACTTGCGATATACTTCGCTTTCGGAGAAGTCTTTATCTGCGTTGTGTCGCATGCTTCGTGGAACTCCTCAGCCTGCACTTGTTTGCTTGCACCTTGAGAATGTGAATCTGTTTGGAAGAAATCTGTACAGTTTAGTATGTGCCTTGAAGTTCAACACTGTGCTCAAGGTTTGTTTTTGAGTGTAGATTCACGGCTTTGCTTTTTTCAAATCATATATTTACAGGAGCTGTATCTTGGCGAAAACAGTATACAAAGCGCTGATGGAGCACATCTCTATCAGTTGATATTAAATAACTTCACTTTACAAATGATTGATTTGCGCAATAATCAGTTAGGGGTGAGGAGAGCATTATCTATTTCTGTTCAATGTAGATGCAATATCCATTCTGACTCTCGTTTATAGGACGCTGGCGTTGCCAAAATGTTCGAGGCACTTCGTAATCCGGAAGTTATCAAGAAGAGTTCTCTGACAGCTATCGTACTCTGGAATAATAAAATTAGCGCTGCTGGCATGGAATCCATTGCTGCAGCATTAGTTAGTTTCGCCATATCAGTGAACACATCAAATTCGATGCTCAATCTAATAATTTCAGTGTGAAAATCCTCATTTGGAAACGCTGAATATAGGAAGTAACCCGCTCGGTGAAACTGGCGTGCAGCGTCTACGTCCAGCTTTAGGGGCTAACGGTAGCAATCTTCGCAGGCTTGGTCTTCAGAACACTCAGATGACGTGTCAAAGTATGCACTATATTGTTTGGAGTTCGACACGAGTCAGCTGTTTAGGTGCAATACTGCTAGCCGAATGCCTTGCCGATAATTCAACGCTGATACGTGTTGACCTAAGGGACAATCCGGCAATTGGTGAGGTTTTCAAAAATTTACCATGCTGTCACATACGTAAGGGATTTACGCTCGTAAGAATTTAGTGGAAAATTTTTAGGTTCTGCTGGATTGCTTGCAATCCACTCTGCAATGAAGATCAACGAGTCTATCTCTCTGCTAAACTTGGATCAAAGTTGTGTGGTGCCTACGAACGCTAAGGTGAGTTGCCTTCTGCTTTGGGGGCAGACGGAAGCCAAATACACAATCGTCGACAGTTATCAATGTAATATTGGCTTAGATTCTTGAATGTCATAGTTGAAACTGCAAAAAATGTGCTGATATTATCACTAGTGTGAGTTGATGCGAGCATAAATGATCGGTTTCGAAAAGAAATTTGCTGCTGAAGGATTTCTTCGACGATTATGTACGTTGTCTTCCTTACCACACTTGATCCATCAAACTTGCTGCTCTTGCAACTTTCCGAATCTACCTTTGCTCCTGCTTTTCCTTTGCCCTTCAAAGGTTACAAAGCTTACTGCGTCATGGTTTCTGGTGACTTCTCATCTTTGCTTGCGCTTATGTGGAGCTTAAATTCTGCGGTCGTTCTACGGTGTGTCCTCTAGTCCGTTGGCTTCAAGTTTGTACTGGTCAGAGGAAGAGCGGGAGAAAATCCTGGGGATGCTGGTGGGATCTTCCAATGTTTGGCACATCTCACTCTGTTTCTCTGCATCCTTTTTTATGATCTCCAATCATTAGATCTGTCTTTGTATCAGCGATGTTACTATCCATTCATAGTTCCCCAAAACTACAGTTGTGGGAAGTTGGGCTTTTCTGTTTTTGAGTTGGAGCGGTTGGCACGTTTCGTGTATTCAGTGTGGTTACACGAGTGTAGGCGAATGCGCAGTTGTACAGGTACGGCAATATCAGGAGGACTTCCGTCGATACTACGAGGACATCAAGCGTTACTGTGAACGAAACAAACTGGCCACATTACAAAAAGCTGACATGTCGCAAGAAACCGTCGTAGTTGATGCAACGTTGAAGTCTGGCAAGTCGGATGCGGAAGAGAATGCGTCGTATACAGATCCTCTTGCATGTGAGTTTTTTAGTCTTGAAAATTGCCTATGCAGTCTCTGATCATCGGTGCAGGATCCGCATAGTCGGGCCCTGTGTGGCGAGTATGATCACACACAAACTTTGCACTTCTTTTCACGACGAAAATCCGTTAAAGAGGCGCCCTATCGTGCAGCTGTTTGGTTGTTTCGCATAAGCTGAAAACTGCTGTGACGTTTTTATTTCTGAGAACTCATCATTTACTGTTTATCAAAAGACGTCCTTATTTTGGTCCAATCAAGATAGATAGTTCCTACTGTCTAAAGAAAGTGTGATGCGTTCGAGCTAATGATGGAGAAGTAGTCGACGAAAATGCTTGCATTGACTTTGCTTTGCGGGATTATGTCTGCTCTTCTCTCCGCTAAAGTTTTTAAACAAGTAGGCTTGCGATATGCGATCAAAACCTTATTGTTATGTACATTATGGTCTAACTCAAAGGTTTTTTTCGAAAATAGCGCCACTGTGAAAAGTTTTTGAATCCTCTGAATGGGTTTTAAATAAACTATCAAGGAGAGCGGAGAGTTCGAAAGCTGAAGCTTCTGAGAGAAGCGAGAATCTGTAACCAAAAATGACAGCCGCTTTCATCAACATTTTAGACAGTTGATAACGCGCACATAAAATCAACTCGTATTCTAGTGTGGACCCTTATATTCGTAGTCTGATGTTAAAATGCAAAGATTCATGGAGAAATTCGTGAAGGAACATTTCTTCAGCTTTAATTTGGGACCCATGATATGGTACAATATTCGGCATCATAAAATTTATATGCGAGTGTGACATCAGACTTTCATGCGACGGTCAACCGGCACCTCTTTACCATTGCGCTACCCCCCTCCCCGTCGGTGCAAAAGGAGTTGCGGGTTTTTTATGGACGTTATTGTTAGGACGACAAACAGTTCATATTTATTGAAGGTTGGGGAAACATAGCCATTTTCGAGGTAGCGTAGTTGGTGCATGGCTTAATTTTATTTTATTTATTTCAATTTAAATGCACTCATAGTGCGCCTTAAATTAGAAAAAAGTAGACAGAGCAACTATGAATAAAACGAGAACCCAGCCAGTCTCAATCGCAGGAGTTAAACAAAATAGAGAAATCGAAGAATAGGATGAAAGAACCCATTTCCCAGGCTTACCAAGACGTTCAATCACCTAATAAAGTCAAGCTGCTTTCACAGTCTTTTCATTCTCAAATCTAGTTTAGAACATGGATTATGTTTAGAAACTCCCGAAAGTGTAACTAGGAGCAATTTTGTAGAATTTCTGACACTCTGAATTCCTAAAACATCAAATGTCGCTAAAGAAGTCATATACTTTTGACACACGATGTTTCCAACCACGAGAGCTGCAGTTTCCGCTAGTGGATATCCGATGTTTATGGTGTTCCCACCATCGTACGTCATGGCTGTTTGTCGAGCTATTTGTCTCACGCCACACATTCCGCGTACGCATCTCGGGGCTGGGCTGTACATTTGAGAAGTCGCTGATATAGAGCACATCGTAGATGGGAATAATTGATGAGGTTGCGCGAAATGTCTTCTCTTTTCTTTATAGTGTGACATTATACTGGCATTCGAAATTTCTAAATAAATCGAAGATGGTATCCGCAAGCTGAGAGATGATCAAGTTGGGGGGGGGGGGGGGGGATTTGTCGGCTGTCAACATCTCGAATGTGTCATTCTGTGGATTCTTCCAAAAAATTACAGCTGTTTGAAATCAAGTTGCCGAGTCTGACTCGCTGGACTGATTAGGATATTGACGAAATTAGTGAATTGCTATCACTTGCTTTTCATAGGTTTTTTGCCTTTTCGTGAATCGTCTGCAGCATCTGCTGTATCATTAGATCTGAACTGAGTAACGGGAGGTATACAAGGCGGGTTTACTGGCCCAATTATGATAATAGTAACCCTGCCTAATTGGTATGCTGCGGAAGCTCAATGACCTCAAAGGTGAACACGATACAGTACATTCAATATATTTGGTTGAAATCAGCAAGCTGTGAGACAGCTGAACCATTTGGTATTGAAAATCTCGCCTTTTGTACATTCAAGTATCTTGGATCGGTCACATATCAGCTAGACCGTTCCGTTTGGCGTAGATTGCTTACACTATGCGCAAATGCAAACCAGCTACCTTTGGTCGTTCATTCAGTGAGGGTCAATTACCCCTATGTACTACGTGCAATTCTGTCACCTTTCTTCCAAAGCAAGAAATCTCTAAATATGTGATCTAGTGTTGAAGCGGTTATAGTCAATTAAATGCCCTTTTTGGGATTTTGCAGCACAGGAAGTGCAACAAAACTAATTGGTTCAATGCAAACGATCTAAGTATAAGCAGTTATTTTAAGCAGTACGTTGGATGCCACTACTATGCTAGTCCCAGCTTCCCGGCGCAAAGTTCGCATGAATAATAACGTCTAGGCAAAAATTTCCGGAAAAGATCTAGAATACCACCCACAGCACACTATCGCTGTTTTTGTTTTGCTTTATAGCGACTCAAAACGAAATGGAGGTGGAGCACCTCACCTTGTATGTACTTTTTGAAATCTCTTTAGCTCGTGTATGGTTTCCAAACGTATCTCCTTAGGAAGAAGTTCACACATACTTTTCTTGGGGTAGAGTGGCCCATATTAGCAAGCATGGTCAAGCATTGAACAGGTTTTTGATACGCAATTTGAAAATCAAAGTTATATCTCACTTGCGTTTCAAATGTCATCAGATGGAAGATTTTGATATTTATTTTACAGAATCTCTTGGGGGTGGGGGGTGGGTGGTACTGGGGAATTTTTGTAGTATAATCTTGATAGGAACAGAAGACGGAGTTAAATTCGCATCTTGAACAGGAGTTGACTTGGAAACGTAGCTGCTAGAAAGGGAAAAAACTTCTGTGGATTTTGTTTTTGGCTGAAATAAACAACAAAATAATTCGAATGACCTCATTATCACTTCATTTAGTGCTTGGATCGCCTATAGATTCACCTTCTAACACGGATGTGCCGTCACTTAATTGCCAATCTTCACAAACTTCTCCGATTGCGTGTCCCAGGGCAAAGAGAGGATTTATCAGGAGTTCATCGCTAACTTGTGCCGAAACTGTGACTGACATCCATGTATGTATGAATTTTCTTCACATTCTCTTATACTGGATAACCGCTATATTATCTCGTAGGAACGCATAAAAGTAATGGGTGGATCAAGCACTTCATTAGATGAGACAAATTCTGACTCCACGAAAACTATCAAAAAGGCTGATGCATCCACGCATGGTTCCATCGGGCTTGGTAAGTTGAAGAGACCAATTGGTAAGTTTATTGACCCAAGTGAATGTAGCGTGTAGGCTTTGTCGCTCTGGCTTAGTGTTTTGGAGAGGGGTTTTCCCATGTTTGCTTTGTACGACTGTCCTTACGATTCCATCAGTGTTGTTTCTGCTTCCGCTTCATTGGTGTCAGATCCATCAGTCTCGGTTCTCAACTGTAATTATGATTTTTAGCGGAATGGGGCTCCTTGCCAGCTATCTCGCAAGCAAGCGACACCACGAAGCCGGTTGTTCGCAAGTTCCGTCGTTTCTCCGTATCCCCGTCGTCTTCGACGTTTGATGTTAGCACAACTTCCAATAAACCTTCGGTTCGTAGATTCTCTCTAATTTTCGTTGTGTTAACATCGCCATAAAACCGACTGGTTTAGACTTCTACTATACCAGAGGTTCCAAATCGCCCCACTTCTTTGTCAATAAGCATACCCGCTGCCAACAGTGTGAGCCAAAGTCCAGTATCCGCTCCAGTGGGCTCTTCATCCGCTCAGTCTAGTTTTGCAACCGAGAGCCCTCCCACAAAGGAAAAAGGTTGTTATTCTCATGTACTTTCTCTCCATAGATGAGCCAAATTCCGTCTAGCTTGCGACAAAGCCGGAAGCGATGTGGACAGCGCCGGAATCACGAAAACTCCAGCTCAAAACGATGAATCCTCTCGGTTACACACCAACGTCTCGAGTGAAAAGCGTCTGAGTGAGAAGGACGTCCACACTCCCTACCCAAAATCTGCTACCGACAAGCTAAGTGAACAACGTGATAGTCGATCAAGCAGTGAAGAGCCGCATGACACCTCGGAAGATGTCATGAAAGACGTTCGCATCGTGATAGCGGATTTGATAAACTATGTGGTGAGTCAGTAGCTTCTCATAAGCATTTTAGATTAGGATTCTGAATTTAGCGTTAAAAGTACACCTTAAGGGCCGGGCATACATCGCGCGATTTCATCGCCTCACGATTCTCCCAACAAGAGGACCGTTACGAGTTAATTGCAAGCCGGTCATCTTTATTTCGGTTGTTATAATTAGTCGCGATTGTTCGCTTCGTGAACTATCACAGCCGAAATGCAACTTGTATTTGTCTTGTTGGAATAATCGCGAGGCGGTGAAATGGCGTAATATATGCGCGACTCTTAACTGAGATGAGAGTGTTGCTGATTTTCGTAGAATTGAAATCATGATCTGTTCCTTGAAAAATCCGACTCAGTAATAACCGTTCTCATATGATTTGTTGATTCTCGGTCAAAACTATTTGAACTTTTTCGTCCTCTCTTGTTGAAACCTCGGCATAATTCAGATTGTGTCAGTATAGTGTAGCCAGCACGAGGTTTGGGTGAAGCTTTTTATTACATCAGTGGCCTAACGCGTTTCGACTACTCGTCGTCTTCGGAGGCCTTTGCTCCACCGCCGGTCACTTGATGGTATAGTGCGACCGCTTCCTTGGTGACAGTAGTGCCAAAGGCAAAGGCAAAGGCCTCCGAAGACGACGAGTAGTCGAAACGCGTTAGGCCACTGATGTAATAAAAAGCTTCACCCAAACCTCGTGCTGGCTACACTATACTGACACTATTTGAACTTTGATGAGAGTTATAGACTCACAAAGGTTGACTCCATAAAGTGAGTCGGGTAGCTTGATTAGTTTTTCCTGTGATATTTTGAGATTTTATGCCGGACACAGAAGTAAGTACTATGTACTTACTTTTGTGTCCGGCATAAAATGCCTCTAGTACTTCGTTGCTAGAGTACTAGTTCAGAGAGGGAGTGTGGGATGATTTGTTGAAGTTTATTGCGATACTGGCATGTGTGGTTCTTGTTAAAACTGATAACCCATTGAGGTGCTGGTTTGCTTTGTTTGGGAAGCTTGGAGCTAGTAGATGACGCTCTTAGTGTGTTCCTTGTAACAGAACCTGACTCATTTGACAGTGATCTTTTTTTCTTCAGGAATACGAAGAAAGCTTAACTGTCGAAAGAAAGCATTCGATGTTACTACAAACATCAGCGTTCACGGATAGTGAGCTCAGCGTCTTGAGAGCGAGAACGTCGGAGGAATCGCCACGATCAGGGACCATTTTAACGCCTTCAAGGTCGGTGCTAATCTTTTGTCTTGCATATTACATGAAGTCACCACCAGTATAACGTCCATCAACTTTTTTTTTTACTTCAGAATGGTGAATATAGCTGAAGAAGTCGCTGAGACGGATGAGATGGTAGTTTCCAGCGTGATGAGATCGCTTGTTCGCGAAGTCCTCAGAAAGGAAAAAGAAGAGTTGCGTAGTACGCTGGATAGACGGCGAAAGAGGACTGGTGTCACATCATCCAAGTCGAGCACTCCTGTCTAAGTTATTTCACACTTTCTCTATCAATATGTTTTCGCATTCCGAAGAATGTTTCACACACTTCAAAAGTGTTGTTTCTGTTGACATCCCTGTCAACAGTTACTGCTGGTAAATTTAGCTTTACCCGACGATCAAATAGACTTGGTCTACCTCGTCGCGCCTATCTTTTCTGAATGGTGATGTTGTCTTCACGCTTTTGCTATCTATTTTCACTTAATTCACCGCGCCCACGTATACTCATTCTGGTAGGAAACAATTGCTGATTTTAACATGCAAAACGGTTTTGATCGAGTTTACTTAATAATAAGTGTACCAGTGCTCATCTAGATATTTTGTACTTAACGGCTTTACCGGTAGGAAAATTGTCTCTTTGCACTTGAATCAAGTAGGATAACATTTTTTCTAGTTGCACTTCGGGAGTTCACGTAGCAGCTGATTCTCAACTTATCACTCTTGGCACTTTTGAATGAAATTTTGTCATTTGATTCAAATTTTTTTGGCGTGGGTGCTGTTCAAAGCTTCGCACAGAGTCATCAGAGCAACGTGCCACTCTGCTGCCGCCCATCACCTTTTTGCCTTTAATCTGTCCTCTTCCTCCCATCAACTTTCTTAATCTTACTCTCATTTCAACACTATTCATATTTCTGTCACATCGATAAGTTGTGATCTCATCACTGCTGGAGACCTTCTCTCCTTTTCATACATGGACGATAACTGATTCGCGAACGCCTCCCCTTTTTGGGTAAAACTATTCTTGTTCGTAGCGTCCTGTAATCTAGTTTGTAGAATAATTGTATCACGTTGTACATAGGGACCTTCTGTCTGTGTTCAAAATAAGTCCTTTGACTGTGATTTTTTTTCTACTAATGAGTCAGCTTGATTATTATGTTAGTCACTGGATTCGGTATTGTGTGTTTCTTTTGAATCAATCAATCAATTGTACTGTAGTCTCATGGTGTCCTCCTGTTGTATACTCCGAAATCACAGTAACTTAAGTGTATGAGTAACGCCTCCTGGTGATTGACTGATTGTGAGTGGTTTTGTATACATATGTAGATTCTCATAAGGGCGTATGCCGTCATAGATAAAGGTATTTCTTTTGTATACTTTTGTTCATGATTTATATGGTCTTCTTCGCCACTGCAGGAGTGAGTAGCAGGTGAAAACTGAAAAATGATTCTGAAAAGTCAGAATGATGGGAACGGATTTGAGCACGTGTTGGCTTCGAGTATTTTTCTAAAAAAAGTTTTCCACGAAAGGGGGCGTATATATGAACTTCTTTCTGGCCTTGCTATGTGCAGATATTGGCTTCCCAAGGCAAGAAAATTGGATTAAAGCTCGCGAAGGAAGCAATTTTGAAAGCGGTAACAATGCATAGCAGCAAACTGTCAATGCTCACCAATTGTTCTCTTACCTGAAGGCATGTTCGTGCAAATTGATCTTTTATTCCTCCCATAATTCTGTATAGAAGCGCTGAATCCTCTCTCAATCAGACAATTGTTGCAGCGGTCCGGTCGCCCAACAGGGCTTCGCCGTTGAGCCGCGGCACCTATATCTCAACCAGTGCCCGATGGTCTGGGGTCAAACTTTACTTCGTTTTTAGGTTGGAAGCAACGGGGATATCGTTTTTATAGGGTGTATGCCAAGATGAACGATAGCTGGCAATAAGCATACCGTACTCCTGCGATTGTCAATATGTCCCACATAAAGTCTGATTTTTTGAAGCCATGTGTTCTTCACTGGGTTGAAAATGATGTCGAACAGTAAGAATTAGGGTATATTGAGATTCCAGCTTCTTTTCCAAGCTTCTAGATAACATCCTAGCGTAAATATGGAATTTGATAAAGATTTGACCTATGCAGCGCATATGGCTGGCACTACCCATCGTTCATGTTGGCTGCCCCCCGTTTTTATAAGGTCCTAGGCGAGCGCCGAAAAAAATCACAGACATGTCAGGTTTTACGAGTTAAACGTGTTCTTTCGCAAGCGCGCGAATTGCAAACGTAGGACTTGAACAAACAGATGACTTGTTTACAGCGCGCAAACAATCACATGGCACAGAACTTGGACTGTATATACAGGGCTTTACAACCTGAGTGTCACAGCCGCCTCGCTCGGCCGCCACGCTTAGGGCCGCGCAGCGTTCGTGGCGCAAGCTGCGCGTCGACTGAAGCTTCGCAAAATGCCCGGGCGATGCGCCGCAAACGCCGCGCGCGGCCTGAGCGAGGCGGCCGCGTTGGAGGAGCCGCGCAAGCGGAGGCTGTGACTCTTATGTTGAAAAGCCCTGTACATACTAGCTGGGTATACCCGACTCCGCCCAGCCCTGTCAAAACACTATGATAAAGCTCTCATCCCTAACCCAGTACAACCTTTCCCTGTGCCCCGCCTACGTGCTAATTCACTATTCCCGCTGTTTTAGTAATCAGCATGCTCGATTACCGTCCTGTGCCAACTCCCGGCCCCGCAGCTCAAATTTTGCGAAAAATCGATAAAATCGATAAAAGTAATGGATAATTCCAAAAACTAAAATTGTATTCGTATTCAGCATGCTCGATTACCCCCCTGTGCCAACTCCCAGCCCCGCAGGTCAAACTTTACAAAAATCGATAAGATCGATATCGATCGATGACGAACAGTAGCCTACGACACCTGTTCGGAGTGTATGTGTGCCAAGTTTGGTCCGGATCGGTTCAGAAATAAAAATTTTTATCCGGAACATACGTACATACAGACATACAGACATACAAACAGACATTCAGCTTTATATATAAGATATGTATACAATATTACTCCAAATATGTAAAAAATTTCAAAAACTTATGTGTCCTAATACCCATTCGCGAATTTGTTGGTTTCTAGACCAACACCAAACCAACTGGGTTGGTTCCATAAATATCGGAGACTTCACATATGTTTTGGACCTTTTTGATTTGGACGGTTGGAACGCTTAGAAATTCTTTTATATATGTTCGGCCATTTGCTGTTTAGGTGGCCGAACCCGTACCATCAATCAACCTGCCGTAAAGCGGGCGGGTACGGGTCGACAGGGATCAGAGGGGTGTAAGCTTCCTCAGTCTCACAATAAACGTTCATAGCGACGTGTTGTGTTATCTCCCAGTTATAAGTTGCCCTATAGTGGCACAATTCTGGTGCATCGGCCAAATTTCTGAGCCAATACCTAGCCCTGCGGTAAGCAGCGCATCAACAGTTCTATCCTTTGTGGAATTGAACTACGACAACGCCTCGAGCAATGTCGATGTTTATACATAAAAAAGCCATTACTCGCGGCATAGAATCCCTTCAATCATTTGTGGATAAATTCACACCATATGCGAAGGAAATGCAACTGAACGCTTCATTTGAGGACAACTATGAAGCGTGCCACGAAACATGTAACAGCATAAAGGGTGCCATAAACGCCATCCAAATCAGCAAGGATTCGCTGCAGTCTTTAATAGACCAACTGCTGCGAGCTCACACAGAAGCCCAAAAGCTCGATAAAAGAGATGCGGATAAAAGTTTGGAAGAGGTAGAAATCGAGACAAACTTTATCGAGCATATGGCCAACGCCACCGAATTGGTGTGCATATTGACCAAAAGACTATCAGAAGCGCAGAATTACGCCGAGAAAATGGCGAGAAAGTTGGGTATAACCAGCAATCTATCCCAGACCGAAATATTATCGGATCCTGGGAGACCTACACAGAGTAAAAGCACTGATGAGGTAATTAATCCAACAGAAGCTGCCTGGCTTACAGAGGACAGTTCTGATGACAGCCGAAATGCGACAGATGGTAACGAAATGGCCGGTCAAAGTTTGAAACTCCATCAAATGAAGCTACCACGCTTTTATGGAGATGAAGAAGAATTTCCCGAATTTTGGGGTATTTTTAACACATTAGTGGATCAAAACAAAAGTTTGACTACAGTAGAAAAAATGTTCTTTCTTAAAGACAGCCTCAGAGGAAGGGCTGAGCTAACTGTGAAAGGTATACAACTAATTCCACAGAATTATACATGGATGACTGAGGAACTCAAAAGGAAATACGGTAATAAACCGATAAATCGCACAAGAATTGTGCAAAAATTAGAGGATATGCTACCTGCAAATGGCTCCGCGGAGAGTTGCATGGACAGATACGACAAAATTCGTGTCCTCATCAATCAAATGGTATCCGCCGGCCAAGACATCCGGCAAAGTAACGATGCTCTGTGGACGGAAAAAATTATAGAAAAATTTCCACAAAATATTGTAAGAAGCGTGCTCAAAACCGTTCAGCAAAAAGGATCGGTCACAATAGAGAATTTAATGAAGGAATTCGATAAGGAAATCTCGGCAAAAATGTTTGTAGATTCCAGACTGAGAAACCGTGGAAGAGAACCACCAAAACCTCAGGATTTTCACCATAAAGAAGATACCAGAAGCAAAGTACGACAATGTATATTTTGCAGCAGAGATCATTTAGGCACGGTATGCAAAGCAACTGATGCACACGCAAAGAGAAAAGTGGTTATAGCAAAAAAACTCTGCTGGAAATGTCTGGCAGACAATCACAATAGCTTCCAGTGCTCCTGGGCAAACTGCTCAGTCTGCAACCAAGCACACAATACTAGTTTATGTGTCAGAACTAGAAATAACAATGGGCCGTATAACCCGGCTAACAACAATCAGCATCAAAACAGGCGTACGCCTGCACAATCGAGATTTGCGAATAATCCATTGCGCAATAGGCCAAATGAGCCACGGTGGGGACCTAACCAAGCTAATATTCACACCACCGACGTATCACAAAATGAGGAAACGTCGCCAAAACTCGAAAATTTACGAAAAAAAGAACAAATTGTGCTTATGACGGCAGAAGGCAATACTTGGAATTACAATACTTGCCGATACGAAAAAGTCTTGTTCTTTTTCGATACAGGAGCACAAAAAACGCTCATTCAAGAGCAGATCGCCGCAAAACTTGGACTACCGCGTAAAGGTGCAGAATTGTGTACTATGTCGGGAATCGGCGGACACATTGAGAAATTTCAAAGCAATAACGTCCAAATCAAGGTTCTGTCAGCATTTGGCGACGAATTGAGTTTCGACATTCAAACAAAACCAATCATAACCAACGGTTTCCCGTCTGTTAAGTTAACAGCTGACGATAAAAAGTTCTTGCAACATAAGGAAATCTATTTATGCAATCCAAGAGTTCAAGGGGAAATCCAAAATCCACATATATTGGTCGGATTAGATTACTACTATAGTTTTATGCTTGCTACGCAAAACACTTCGATCCTACCGTCGGGATTACATATTGCGAGGACCATTTTCGGCCCCGCAATTCACGGGCGAGGAACTGAACCCAATTCAAAAGTTGCCGAATCTCCAGTAATGTATGGATTAACGCTCGTAAACGAAAAATCTGAGGCGGTCATCTTACAAAACATGTTTGAACTTGACGGTTTAGGCATATTTGCTGATGACGCCAAACAAGATGAGGTTACCTATAGTTACTTCCGAGAGTATTCAAAATCGATATCCTACGATAACGGCTACGCTACAGCTCCGTTCCCTCTGCGAGACAACATCGCTGACCTCGCGGATAACTACCCCGTCGCTCAGCGTCGGCTCGTTTCTTTATGGCACCAGTTGCGCAAAAATAACGAACAAAACAACTGGTATTGCAAAATTATGGCAGATTACCTCAAAAACGACATTGTCGAAAAAGTACCAGAAATATTAGAAAAACATTGTGGTATTTACTATATGCCACATTCGGGAGTGTGGAAACCCCAAAAACCAAAACCACTGCGAATTGTATTTGATGCGTCATCAAAGCAAAAAGGACAAATATCACTCAACGAGGTTATTGCAACGGGAGAGTCGTTTACAAACAAAATTCACGACATCCTAATAGCTAGTCGCTTCCCAAAAATTATCGTTTTGTGCGATATTGAAGCAGCATTTACGCAAATCAGACTACCAAATGCCCACAAAGATCTATGTAGATTTTTATGGCTCAAAAATACCACTGAACCACCTGTAAAAACCAACATCATACAGTATAGATTCAAAAGGTTGCCTTTTGGTATCACCGCATCACCTAG